TGAAATATGGAATTAAAAAGGCATTTTTGATTAACTTTCTTGTTATCTATTTGTTCATTCATGATGACTAGACATGGATTTCTCAAAACAGTCCACCCAGTCCCAGGGTGAGCTAACAGACTCCTGTTCTACTCAGAATCCCATGACAATTATAAGTGACGAAGGGGCAAAAATATTGCACAAAGTACCTAAAACTGAACTTCCAAAAAATATTTTTTTCTTAAATTTCACCTAGCTTTAAAGCTTGACTTTTTTTTCCGGTTTATTGAAGTATAATTGATATAAAAAACACTGCACATAATTATTGTATACAATTTGGTGAGTTTGAATTCTGAACTAGAGTTGGCAAAAACTGCCTCTGTCAATTTCAAAATAAAAGTCAGTTTGCCTATCAGTATGAGAAAATAAGCATTCATTCATTCACGTCTCATGTGCCCAAACTTCAAGGATCCTATAGACATACTACTGCTGTATCCAGATACCAGAAAACATACTGACATGGTTAGAGACTTTAACTGCAGGATTCTTTAATTTTTTTAAATTTAAAATCAATTAATTAACATATAATGTGTTATTAGTTTCAGAGGTAGAGTTCAGTGATTCATCAGTTGCATATAACACCCAGTGCTCATTCCAAGTGCCCTCCTTAGCACCCATGATCCAGTTACCCCATCCCCCCACCTACCTCCCCTTCCGCAACCCTCAGTTTATTTCCTAGAGTTAAGACTCTCTTATGGCTTGTCTCCCTCTCTGATTTCTTTGATTTCAAAGTCAAAAGACATTTATGGAGATCTCAAAGACTGTCCCTTATAACAGGCACTGCTCTATTCATTTTATAAGAATTATCTCCTTTAATACAGTAAACCTGTGAGCTAATTGCTTAGATTATTGCTGTTATTGTCACTTGCCAAATTTGGAAGAAAAAAAAAAGGGGGGGGGTGAATTATTTGCCCAAGATGAATCCCTCAGAAAGTTGTGTATTCCAGATTTGAACCCCTGATGCCTGATTCTAGACCCTTGTTTTAGTTCCCATCTCCAGAGTAGTACCTAAACGTTGGACCTGAAGCAGGTGTGTTTGCTGAAGGAAATTAATTTGAGACAATTATGTGTCTTTTAAACATGGACATATCTGGTACATGGGGCTGAGCCCAGCAGGCCTGAGCTACTTGGAATAAAAGTCTGTGGGGCCTCCTGAATTTTTTCTACCCATCCCTACAGTCCACTTCTGAGTAGGTCTCCTGTGTCAGGGGCTTTTGTTATGCTGCTTAGATTGTGCCTCAGCCCTGCAGTGCCAGAAACCACCTCCCCCCTTGTCATTCTGTGACCCAAGTGCTTAGTGCAGCCTGCTCAAGTGGAGCCATTGTTTTCATTCATTCCACTTGGACATCCAAATCCCGACCTGTGAGGAGCTCCTGCACTGCCCTGAAGACTGCTGTGTGTGCAAGTTGGTCTCAGGTCCCAGTCCTGGGTTCCTGAGTGGGTTTTTGAAAGAAAGAGCACTCAGCTGAGCCAAATAACTAGAGACATGATCAGATGTGTATTCTCAGAGACTGTGTGAAAACAGCAGTGCTTAAAAATTAAAAAAATAAATAAACAAAATTAAAAGAAAAAAAAACAGGGCAAAACAGGACAAAACAGCATTATGGCAGAGAAAATTCTCTGAGAATAGATATGTGACCCAGATGGGAAGTATTTGCTTATTCTTTCTACATGCATGGCCCCATTTCCAGTTATTCAGTCTCATATATTTAAAATCATGCAATTTTAGTTTCTAATAGCATATATGAAATACTTTCACTATAAAACTGGAAGGTACAGTTCACTACGAGGTGGTAGGACATGAACAGAATTAGGAGCCACACAGGTGGGGGCCTGAAAACAGCTGCCCAATGCCAGCTGCATAGGCTTGGACAGGTTAGAAAATCTCTGCTCCCTCCTGGGTGAGGAGATGGTATGGTCAAATACCACTTACAACTTCACTGTCCAAGATAGTAGCTACTAGCCCTATGCCTTAAAATTAAATTCAGTCCCTCAGCTATTCTAGCCACATTTCACGTACTCAAGAGCCACATGGGGCTTGGGGCGCCTGGCTGGCTCTGTCAGTTCAGCAGCGGACTCTTGATTTAGCTCAGGTCATGATCTCAGGGTCATGAGATTAATCCCCGTGGCGAAGCCTGCTTAAGATTCTTTTTCATCCTCTCTCTCTGCCCTTCCCCCCATCTCTGGTGTGCTCCCCCTCTCTCTGAAAAAAAAAAAGAAAAAGAAAAGAAAAAACAAAAAAGAACCACATGGGGCTAATAGCTATCAAACTAGAATACTGGACAGAACATGCACAAAATCATCACAGAACATTCTACTGGACAGGGCTGGTCTATAAAAAGTGGATCAAATATAAATTAAACACAGTGCTGGGAACATATTACCATTTAACAAATAATAGTTGGATATTCAAGATTCTTACGTTTATGAATCTGTAAAAAGCCTGATATATAAATCCACTCTTTATGCTCTAAGTTTTTTTTTTTTTCCCCTATAAAAATCTTCAGGGCTGTCAAAGGAATATCCATCAACCAATGCATTTATGAAAGGAAAGAGAATGCAAGTTAGGCTTGGGGAGAACTGGCATCCCCAGTACAAAACTCAGTAACCATACAATAGAAAAAAAATCAAAATCACCATGATGTCCTACATTCATGGTAGAAAACAGCAATATTCTCATAATTACCAAATAAGAAAAACTTAACTTTCAAAAATATTGAGCTTAGCTTCTACTGCATGAGCAGAGGACCCCCTGATTTCTTTAAATCTTCCTAAATAAAACATGATTTTAATTTCTACAACTTTAGTTTGATTTCTGGGATCATTAACTTTTTGTTATAAATGTTATGAATTTTAAATGTTTAAGTCATTTAACTGAAATGGAAATACAACTGTTTGGTATATTGTACTTCTATCCAATGTCCTTGCTAAATGGGCTTATTAAATCTAATGGCTTATCAATATTTTTTTCTAATTTTTTTGCTGTCTCCTATTAATAATTCTTTTATAATTGTAACATCTTTTATTTCCTTGCTTGCCTTATGGTACTGGCTAGGACTGAAAACATTATAGAACTTTTTGCCTATTTATTTCAGATGGAAAGCTCTAAAATCTTTTATTTAGGGAATTATTTTTAATTACAGATTTAATTTATGTAACAGGTCAGTATTTGTTTCTTTTTTCTGCTCCTGCTATAATAGTTGTGGCTCTAGAAATAAGACCATTTTGTATAAATTTTCACACTTAATGGCTAAACCTTGTTTCTGATAACCTCTCATGATTTTTCATGTCTGTTACTAATGTAGTGATACCACTTTTCAAATTTCTGATATTATTTGAAGCTTCTTCATTTTTTCTTAATAAATTTAGCCAGAAATTTAGGTCTCAATAATCTGTTTAAAGATTACACTTGATTCATTACCCTTACTTCACGTTGTTGTTGTTTTTTTTTATTAGTTGCTTCAGTTTGATTTCTGTTCTACTATTCAGACTTTCTCCAATTTTAAAAATTAGGTTATAAATTCCAAGAAACTCGTTTTGGCAAACAAAATCCAGTAATACATAAAATGATAAAACATCATAACACAGAAAGATTTATTCCTGGGGGGGGATGGCAAATTAAATATTTGAAAATCTATTCGTGCAAGTAATCACATTAAGAGGATAAAGGGGAAAATAAAAAAAAAAAAAGATCATTTCTCAATGCAGAAAACGACATGATAAAATTCATTATACATCCATGATAAGTACTCTTAGCAAAGGAGGCATTTTTTTTTTTTTAACTCATCTACTGAAATATATTTGCAAAACAACAAAGAGCTCACAGAGGAAATTAAAAAGCACCACTTGTGAGCAGAATGATAGAGAACACATTATGAAAGGCTTGCCTGTCACAATACCGGACAAAGCTCCGTGAAAGACAGGGAACAAAGGGCCACCATGAGTTAAGCGAGCAAGAGAAAATAAAAGCCAGGGTCACACAGGGGACAGTAGCTTATTATGCTGCATCAGGATTGTATGAGGTCGGCAGCTTCTGCACAGTGGGAAGGGAGAATTGGAAATCACTATAAACTAAGACATCTGAAAGCGCTAAAGTGGCCTCAGATCAGAAGCACTCATTGCTAAAGCCTTGCCTGCAAAGAGCATTACCAAAGTAAGCTTGCAAGAATTTCCAGAATAAAGACCAAAAGAAATCATGTCTTGTCAACAAAAAGCTTTCCACAGTGACAGCCATAAGGCTAGGAAGAAAACACACACACACACACACACACACACACACAAAGACCCATGTAGACATAAAATGGAGTGAACAGGAAAAAAAAAAAAA